GAACTAGCTGTACACCTCATTCCACGAGGCGTACAGCTAGTTCGGATTAGAAGCCTAATCCGAACTAGCTAGTTCGTGCCGCGTGTAGCCGCGCGGCACGGAGTCCGAACTAGCTGGCATTTAAAAATGGCGTCGGCTGGCTTCATGCAAATGAAGCCCGGGAAATTCAAATCCTGGGCTTCATTTGCAAGTGCAGATGACTACATTACCCCCGCTAGTTCGAACTAGCGGGGTAGTGTAGTCATACCCATAGTTATTTCAAAATAGTGTCAAAATACTGTCTAGCTGGAGGAATTCTTATTCAGAATCCTATAACCCTCATTGTAGGAGTAGTAAGGGAAGTCCAAGGAAGAGTGCTCTCTTTGTGTAGATAATCCCAATTTTGAAATAAGCGATGCAATTGATGTTGCTCAATTTGTGTAGCTTATTTCTAGTTAAGCCCTGCAGTGTAGACACACTCTAAGGATGTGTCCAGACTCAGGGGTTTTTTCGAAAAAAGTAGTCTTTTTTCGAAAATACTTCCCCTGCGTCCAGACTCAAGCCGCGTTCTTTCGAAATTAATTCGAAAGAACGCGGCTTTTCTTTCGATGGCGGTAACACTAGTTATTTTGAAATAGTTTTGTAGTGTAGATGTACCCTAATACTTAAATGTTTTCACTGATATTTTTTAAAAGTGGGACTATTTCTGTTTTTAGATTTGTGTTGCTGTTTTAGATTTGTTTTTACAGCATTTAAATTTTGTGTCAAATTTAAATTTCCCATTAACTTTTGTCAGTGTGCTTTATAAAAGTATGCCAGTGGAATATGCCTACATTTGTAGTATATAAGGGTATGTCTACGCAGCAAAGTTATTTCGAAATAATAGCCGTTATTTCGAACTAACTTTACTAGTGTCTACACAGCTAAACCGCTATTTCAAAATTAATTCAAAATAGCGGAGCACTTATTTCGAATTTGGGAAACCTCATTCCAAAAGGAATAACGCCAAATTCAAAATAGCTAATTCGAAATAAGCGCTGTGTAGATGCTTATTTCAAAATAGGGAGCCTCCAGCCCTTCCCAGGGTGCCCTACTAGCCACCTAGGCTACAAGGTAATTTCTGACCTGATACCCTGCTGGAACCAGTTCTGGCTGGCCTTAAATGCGATTCAGCGTCCAATCAGTGTGGATGTGCTATTTCGAAATAGCAAAAAGCAATTTTGAAATGTATTTTGTGTGTAGACACGTTATTTCGAAATAAGATATTTTGAAATAACTATTTCTAAATTAGATATTTCGAAATAACACTGTAGTGTAGACATACCCTTTAGACTTCAGAAAATGCAACAGAATTCCACTCAGCCTAACCTAACTATAAAGATTCCTATTACAAGTTAGAAATGTGAGAAAAAATGAAACTTGTTGTGATTGAAACCTAGAGTATGTCTACACAGAAAAAGCTTCACCATGGGTAGTACAAACATGGTACAGACCCTGGCTCATACATAGCACATTAGCTTGCTGTTCTATGCTATGGTATTGTAACTACACTGCTATTGTTAACCTTGATAGCCAGATTCAAGCTAATTTGATTAGGCTGTGCACAGTTGTTGCTATGTAGACATTCTTTTAGGGTATGTCTACACAGCAGCATTATTTCGAAATAACTTAGTCCACATCTACACAGCAGGCAGTTATTTTGAAATAATGTCAAAATACTGTCAAGCTGGAGGACTTC